CGAATGCTGCACGACACGGAACACGGAACGTTGTATAATTGACGTACATAAAATACTTTAATTACGTAAAAAGTTTGAAATGTTTGATGTGATATTTGAAGTAAACTCGTAATAGGTTTCGTAAATAAATTGTAAATAGTTAAATTTCGTAAATAGATTTGTAAATAGATTTCGTAATTGACTTATTTCTTTGTTGAAATAAACACCAATCAAAGCATATATGACATATGAAGAAAAAGGGACGCGACATTAGTAGAAAGATTGAGAAGATTAATCATATATTATTGGTTCTCTTTATATTTGTGCATGAATTCTCATTTATCCCTTTTAATAAAACAAGAAAGAATACTTTATTTTTTTGATAAATCAATAAAAATTTATACTATAACTTATATGCACGCGGCTTATTATAATGCAAGAACGGAAACTTCCGAATTTTAGAGCATATATACCCAGACTGGTCCCTGATCAGGTTCAAGCTTTATTTTTGAGATCTCTCAATAAGTCCTAATAAGCTTCTTTACGGTGAGAAAAGTCCTGTGTCTTACTTACCTTTTATATTGTTTCAGAAAAGGGGAAATGAAGTGTTGTTCTCATGACAACTAAAGTAATTAACATAACTTTACTTAAATAGCTTGAATTAGTATTTCATTCATTTTCGATTTTTGTTTTACAAGGCTATTCTTATTCGGTGTATCCAAAGAGCTAAATTTACAGTTTTAATAGATTATTTCCAATTAAGAATACAAAGTTCATACGGAATGAGTATACATTTATACGCGTTTGCATATCCGATTGAAAGATGTCCATTACGCATTTATACTCGATTAACACTCGATTAAAAAAAAAAAAAGTAATAAAGTAGATTAACTACATCGACAATAACGGACATTTATTAATTAATTGTTAGTTCGCGTTAAACCATTTAAAAAAATTCACGATGATGGATGACAAGGGTTTTACTTTTTTTTTAATATGTATGATTTTTTTGTGGCGCTTTCATTTTTTTTTTTCATGGTATATACCTTTATCGTTATCGTCATCACAATAATGGTAACAAAAATAGAATATCATTGATATTAATTTGGAAATGAATAGATTCCTGGGGGTAATAATCTACAGCGTTATTCGTTGGATATCATCGGAAAAATACTAGATTCGGTATATAAATCTGGGTAACAATACCTATTTATCATCCCTGAATATATAACTTGATTGCCAGAATAATTATAATGGCGGAGATAATGACGCCGAGAGGAAATATCTACCCTGTCATACCGTTTAGTATAATGTATAGATCATCCAACAACTTCTCGGAAATCGTCATGTACATACGGAACTACGGAAACTACGAAACATATACATCTCCTAATTTTTTGCCACAAATTATTACCCGATAAATTCGACTCTGTGACACTAATACCCCTCAAAACTTCAATTTACACTTCAAAAAATTCCAAAAATTGGATTGATTTTCAACCCTGCATAAAAGTGCAAACATACGCATACATATACCACTTTCTACTACATACACTACATCTACTATGCACATATACTACATATACTGCGGTTATAATATAGATGGATTCTACTTATCGTTATAGTATATATCGTTTATAGTATGTATTTTTTTTAAAAATAAATGCATCCTCCTTTGTATTCTTTAAATGTCAATTGGTTCTTCATATAAATAGTACGCATCTGATTAATCTTGAATGTGACCGTGCGCAGATCAGAATAATAACTTGATGACTTTTGGTACCACTTGCTTATTTGGCTAATTTGACACAATAAATTCAAGTTTTTGATAGAACAAAGAAGCTTCCATGAAGGTACGAATCAAAACATGGCTTGGATCTTCAACTTTAAACAAAGACGTTTCGCATGGCAACGTGGTTTGTGTATGTAACCACTAAATAAATGTTCCAATAAATGTATTATGATAAAAACAGAAGTCGACCCAGTATCCAGAACAAAGGTAATTAACAAGATCACTTATCATGTGGTTCATTCAAATTCATTCAAGCATTTCCTGCTTTAATAAATCGTTGTTTGTTGAAGCTTTATACTGGTCAATGGTTCAATGTAATTATTTTCGTTACACCTGCAAAAGCGTTAAATAAACTTACAAACCTAAGTCTTTGTTTCCGTTCTTTGACTCATTTCGGCTTACTTCGAATTTGTCCATTAATCTGTAAAAAAAAAAAAAAAAAATAGTACCCTAAATTCAATAATCCAAATATCAATCATCACCGACCTTTGATGTCCAAATTTACCTAACCGATTCCTAGTATATAATTAGAATTACAACATTAAACGCATTTAGTGTCTTATAGGCGAAAGGTCAATAAGGGAAAACAAGTGAATTTATGTCTAAAAAAAATTTTTTTGTCATCTATTTAGAAAGTATATAAACATGAATTTAGCGCAAAATCTAAACATGAAAAAACTTCTTAAAAAAGAATCTAATCGTCTTGCTTGAATTAATTTCTAAAATTAATATAAAATTCGCTTACTAAATAACCCAATTTGTTTCATATTTCGTAATATGGTTTGCTTGATTTTCAAATGTCGTCTTAATGCTAATGTCTTGCTACAGATTATTTTGAAACTATTTAAGGCACCTGATATAGCGCTAACCCATTTTTTTTTACTTTTTATCTGCATGATTATAATTTATATATCTATATTTTCTATTTTTTTTAATTAAAGGTATGTAATCATTTACCAAAATTATTATCAATTGGTGATAAGAAATAGTAAATTCAAGTTGAGTGACTTGTGATTCAACGAATTTCTTGATCTATTATCTTTATATCACTAATATTTAGACCATTTTATTCCCACGTCAAAAAAAAAAAAGATCCACGATCATTGCGTAATCCCTGTCAAATAAAATTAAGTATCAGAATTATAATATATGTCCTTGTATAAATTATACTAACTACACTAGCATATATTCTATTTTTTTGGACTTTGGCATACGTGCATACCAGGTAACAAATTTAAATTCCCCTAATCATTATGTAATACAAAACTTTAAATTATCGATTGATTTACAAAGTTAGTAAATTGGTAAAATAATGCTAAATACATTACTTTCTAAAGAACAACCTTCATATTTATAAACATATGACAGAGAGTTTAATTACATATACAGGATTAAGAGAAATTATTATTATTATTTTTTAATATTAAGGCGAGGTTTTGCTCTTTGTTTAATAATTTGTAAAAGATTCTTCCAAGAATTTCTTTGGATAAATCAAATACATAAACAAAAATTAAACTAAAGTGATTAAAATGCTCATCTAGATTAAATAATGTAAAATATAATTAGTAAGGGTGCTATATTGAATCCATTATATAATCCATAATGACATTTTTCGAAATATTAAACCAAGTGGTAGCATTCACTAAATTCTGAGTGTTAAGAAAAATTATTCAAAACTAAGGTTATCGAATATATTCAAATACCAGAATACGTATCAAATCACGTCAACAAACTGGTACAATCTGGTACGTGGTTTCATAATTCTAAAACTCCGACATTTTTGACAACTTAATATCAGATACTTTATGGAAACAGGCTACAAATAAATTTAATTCTCAAAAGTAGTTTCTCTTAGAAAATTGTTATTGATTTGTCCCTTCTTAAAATCATATATTGCATATGCATATTATATTGTTAAAATTCTTTAATAAATATTGAAGCTTTATTAAACTCTTAATGAAATCAATACAAACTCAAAAATTCATTAATTACTGATTTCAAAGATTCAAATTGTACAGTTGCAATACTGTGTTTCAAGTTCTTTAAACTTAAACCACTTTCCCATATAAGCAATATTTTTACTAGGTTTACTTATTATAAAATATGCATATTATATATATTTGTATACAATACTATATACATCAGTAATTATATTTTTTACGTATAAAATTTACATACGTACGTAGCTCTATAAAGTTATATAGATTACAAACCCAATGTAGACTTATATATGTATTTAAAATTTCTATATATATATATATATATAACTTAATAGAATTTTTATATATATTTACATTAAGATAATTTAATTTATTTTGCTATTTCTCAAAAGTGACTAAGGTAATCGGGTGTTCGATATACTAAGTAAACATGTTCAGCATGCTAGAAAACCTACCAAGCCCCTAATTTAAACTTTAAAATCTAATCCTATCTTTAATATTCAAATTAAACATTTTTTGTAATTTTACATATTCTATGTAGAAATATATATATAGATTTTATATAAATTTAAAAATTATAGCTATATAAATCTACATTGGATTTATATAATTTAAATATAAGCTTATGTTAATTAAATAAAGGTTTTCTAAAACTTCCACATAGCTCTACATAAAAACAACTTGCTGATGTACCTATGTTAATTGCTACCCATGTTAATTGTATATATATACCATATTAATTGATACCCAAGTTAATTCAATAATAATAAAGCAATGCACATATGTACGTAGATAAATATTCTAGAAAGAAAGGTTGTTTAGCTGATAAAATATGGTCTTCGCGATTTAATCTCTGATTAAAATTGTTTTCTTAATTGAAATTTTAATAAAATTATATGAATTATTAAGCTATACAAACATGATCTTAGTAACTTTATCTTAGAGTTAAGGATTTAGCATTCATTATTTGATACGTATTATTGATGTTTAAAATTAGAAAATTAGACGATGTATAACTCTTCGATTTCACTGTGAGCAATTCGAGTTAATAAAAAAACAATTTAATTAATAACTCTTAGATAAACTATTACGTACAGTACGTATCTCTGAAACTATATAGCGATTGTTTAAAAACTGATAATTGCCTCAACAGCAAATGCTGTAATACAATTTGTTTTTTAAATTTTTATCACACCGCCAAATATGATGCACACCAAAATATGATGCACGAAAATTTAAAAATACAAAATGGTCACGAAATATTGAAGCATCCATCATTTGCAAAGTAACTAAGGTTGTAAGAGACATCCACCGACAACTCTTTTTCGAAAATCGTTGATATAAGCAATCATATTTTCAGCATCGTCTAGTTTCACGCCAGAAGATCGTACGGTCGGGCCGATCTCTCTTTCTAATTGAATCAATGACATCCTAACCTTTTCAAAGGATTCAAGTTTTTGAGCATTTGATGCTTCAAGTTCTTGGTTCTCTCGAAGAATCCTATCATCATCTGATCTAAGGGCATGCACTTTTATACGAAGAGATTCAATTAATATATCTGTGGATTTGTTTTCATGTTCAAGTTTTTGTTGCCGGCGACGGCGTTCTAAAATTAAGGCAAACAAATAAAATAACAATTAAATGATTATGCACCATAATATAAATATACATATCATTTATCTAAACTTTTCGGATGTTACCGTTATCGTAAGCTAGAAATTCTTTTGTAAATATAGGAAACCCAAGATTTTGTTCTTGTAAACTCTCTTGTTCACCATCTGTGGTATTGAATAAGTAACGCGATGATCATTTCAAAATTGAGTGTGTTTTAGGCTTTCAATGATTTTAAAGAATCCATTAACTGAAAAGTTTGTAAGTGTATAAGCACCTGAAGAAGGCGTTTGTTCCGATATGTGGAATTGTTCGTTCGCATATTCAGAAGTATTTTGAGTTCTTGACTGAGAAATTTAATCTATTAATAAAGGCTATTGCCATATTTTGAATATAAAAAGTTTATAAAACTTATTATTTACTCGTTGGTCACCTTTCGACAATTTTTTTCCTCGCGTACGGTCATTAACATCTTTGTTATTATTTAAAAAGTATTCATCTTCTTCTGATGAAGAGGTCGGTTCATGATAATCAGCAACTTTCCTTCCACTTCTAGTTCGCCGTTGTTTGTATTTAAGTCGATCCACCTTCATGGGTTCAACCGAATTAACAGCTTTTCCAGTTGAACTTGAACTAATGCCTGTTGACTTAGCGGTAGGCTCTTTAGATAAACTTGATCTACCAACAGGAAATTATTCCGCCATAAATTTATTCATAAAAATTTCATGTTAATAATTACCATAAATGCAATCAAAATTGGAATGTTAAATAAATACGTTAAAAAAAAATGATTATTAAAAGTCCAAGTTTTTCCAACTATTTTTTTCTTCTTTTTTTTCCTTTTTTTTTTTTTACAGTCAGTATTTTTAATCACCTCATATTAGATTTGTCGCGTTGTGCACGTTGTGCCCGTGTAAGTGTCATAATTTGTTTTATTTTATGCTTTAAAAAAGAAAGGAAAAAAAAAAAAATAAAAGATTA